GAGCACCAATGTAACTAAACACCAATGTGACTGAACATTAACGTTACTGAACACCTCTGTGATTAAACATCTATGTGACTGAACAAGAATATAACTGAACACTAATGTGACTGAACACCTATGTGGCTGAGAACATTTTCAGTACTGAACAGCAAAAAGATGAAAAAAAATTGTTTCCTTTTAGATGTTCAAAATGTTCAGTTTATAGAGGTCTTCATAACAAAATAGGGATTGGTGTTTGAGCTATTCGTCGTCTTACTGTGAAAAAAAGGCGACATTGATAAAAATGGGAATCTGTCTGTTGACAAACACCATGTAAGGAAGTACTGCCTTCAAGGTAGAATTACCAAAATTTATAAATATTCACTTTAGAAGGAAACTATTTTGAAAATATTTCCATTTTGTTCTTTATGACCACATATCATGGTGACTTTCGTGAAATTTTTTTTTTCCTAATTAAATTATTACTTATTATTACTTGAAAACTATTTTTGTTAAAAATGTCAGTTCACACTAGAGCTTAGTACTGTATTGACAATCATAAATAACTGTTTTGTTTTGTTTTTGATAAACAAAACAAACACCAACTCTTCTCAGAGATCTGCTTCTCTTAGAAAAAAACATGGTACACAGTGTAGTGATTGAAATACTGTAGAATACTTTATTTTCGCTTGGAATTTATTTTTGCTATTTTCGCTGAAAGGATGATTCTGTGAAAATAAAAATCCAGCGAATATACTTTTTTTCACATTAAACTCATCAAAAATCAGTGAAAATAAATTCCATACAAAACGTCCAAAAAGCCTTTTCAGCGAAAGTTAATTCCAGCGAAAATAAAGTATTCCACAGTAATTGAAAAAAAAACATGGCTCAAAATTGGCTCTAGGTGGCGCTATTATTAAAAAATAAGCAAGCAAACATAACACCAGCTGTAGCACATATATTGTCATTGTGTAAATCAAAATTGACCCAGTATTAATCCCAACAGATGTTGCAGATTTATTATAAAATGTTGCTCCTTTTGTTGAAATTTTAATCGGATTTAATTGGGTACAGAGGTGTTCGTTTCAGCGTTCGGGTACAGAGGTGTTTATTTCACAGTGTTCAGGTACAGAGGTGTTAATTTCACAGTGTTCAGATAGAGAGGTGTTCGTTTTATGGTGTTCGGGTACTGAAGTGTTCATTTCACAGTGTTCAGATAGAGAGGTGTTCGTTTCAGCGTTCGGGTACAGAGGTGTTTATTTCACAGTGTTCAGGTACAGAGGTGTTAATTTTACAGTGTTCAGATAAAGAGATGTTCGTTTTACGGTGTTCGGGTAATGAAGTGTTCATTTCACAGTGTTCAGATAGAGAGGTGTTCGTTTCACAGTGTTCAGGTACAGAGGTGTTCATTTCACAGTGTTTGGGTTCAGAGATGTAAAATAAAAATTTACAAAAAAGAAAAGACAAAAAAAATTATTACACTCTTCCAACCACCCCTCATGACAAATAGTTTACCCCTAAAGAAGACCGTAATGTAAACGCACAAATTAATCGTTGATATTTAATTTTGTTATTTTTGGCTGCTGAATAAAATTTTTTGAATAAAATCCACTTGAACATATAGAATAACAACATTGAACTTAATGTTCCCCTGCTCAGTTCTTTAAATTTAAAACAAATGAAATTGCTGACAACATCAAAATAGTGAAAAGAAATGATTTTACAGTAAAACAAGCACATGTAAAGAGGTTCAGACCAAAATAATGATTATATTTAATCTTCTTCATTATCGTTTTAAAATGCGATTAAGATACAACCAATAACAAATGCACTGGTATCATAGTGGTTGTCGCATCAGACTCGTGATCGGTAGACCCGAGTTCAAATCCTACCTTAGGCTGAACATCAAAGGGTCGACCTCTACCCTGGGTGAGTGTGCCACAGACTCAATGGGAAGGCCAATTCCACTGGGTGAGATTCATTCACTAACGAATGCGATGTTGGGGAATCTTGGTTAAGGTCCGCAGGTGCTTGTGTTCGACTGAGCCTGGTTGACGCCAGGATAGCGCATTAAACTGTCATTTGATAGGAAGATGGCCGCACAGCCCTGTCATGTAGTCCCAAACATAAATATGACTTCTGTGGCAAAAATGCACTATGCGTCAGCACTAGCACTTGCAATTTTGTAGGAAATTTTGAAAAAAATTGCACAAGTTTCTATGATGAAATTTACCATCATATCTTGAAAAATTCACACTGTGACATGTGTTGAAAAAATTGTATCTTTATGTAAACTGAGAACAGACTTCTCAAGGTAGAGAGTAAACCAAGTGAGTATTGGTCACCAAATCCGGGAGGAGAATAACACACTGGAGAGGAGCACTTGTAGCCAATGTGTTTATTGCTCATTTGCTAGGCCTGGAACTGAGTCTAAATACTCAGGAGATGTTCCACGACAATGTATCAATATCATTATGCAAATAAGTAAACTAAACGTCATAGCTTCAAATCATTACACCTATTATTATTGTTATGAATCATAATATTGTTGAAACATTTCCATAAAAATGACATTTAGATATAGTTTCCAGTATGACAATAGTTTTCTGTTAAAGAGCGGTGGTTGTCTTCGAATTTCATGTAAATAAACAATGTATTTTACACACGTTGTATACGTCGCTATGAGTCCCATATCGAACAGGACGCGACACGACGACTGTCGCCCTTTAACCTATTTAGAATTGGAAGTTCCCATGATGCAGTACCGGTAATATGCTCAGTGATCCCAAATTTAAATTTGGCTCAAATATTAACTGCCTTATGAAAAAAGACGGACAAATCAATGCACAGAAACTTTGAAATATGAAGATTTCCCATGTTACAACTTTAATACAATATAGTCTAATTTGAGGGGGGGTGAGCTTAAATAGTAGTTACAAAATTTTTTTTTTTTCAACTTATCCAAAATAAGTCTTATTATAGTGTGTTGAACGAGGATGGCATATGGTCATGTGATTAGTGACCCCCTAGTTTGATTAATATAATATTGAATATTGTCAAAAAATAATTTAGTTTGTTGGACGAGGATGGCACTGATCATTTGATAAGTGACCCCCTATTTTGATGAATAAAAGATTGAATATTAGTGAAAAACAAATTGGTGTGTTGAACGACAATGACATCTGGTCATGTGATCCCCCCCCCACAGTTTGATGAATAAATAATTGAATGTTGTAAAAAAATAATTTATAGTATAGCACCTGGTCATGTGATGTGATTAGTGACTCCCTAGTTTGATAGATAAAAGATTGTACACAATTTTAAGATTAATACACTGCCATAGTATTTGAGTTTTTCTTTTCAGAAAAAAAAATTGTATTTTACATATTTTGAGTTGTGCAAAAATGTATAATTATTCATTACAATCAA